AAGAGCAATATCCAAAAACGTATGTTATAAGCGTGGTGCAAATCGTGTGCGTGCGGGTACCGTTAAGCTGCAATCTTATGTATGGGTTTTGGACGACCCGCAGCGTCTACCAAGTTTATAAGTTTTTGTAATAACGCATTTTGCAAAAATTAAAAATAGTACTACCAGGACTTGCTTCCAGAAAAGGGTACTCTTTATCAACAAAGAATCCACAGAATTGAACAAGCTTTTCATAAAGTTGCTCAAACTGAGTTCTAGCCCGATGTTCCATTTCAATACCGTATGATATTTTTTTCGATGTAACATGAGGTCCGTGTAAAAGATTATAAACTTTTTCACAACAACTTGTATTAGCACACATTTTACAAATGTCTGCAAAATTTAAAGCAGTGAGTCTTTGTTTCCTCTCGGTGTATCAATCTTGGCTATTGCATTGATCTCTTGTAGAAATTTTGAGTTTTGTATTATCAATCTCGTTTAGTTTTGTCAAAAAATTACTCATGTTTTCACGCAGCTCTTCTTCAGTAGGAATTGTTACGACTGTCGTCGTAGAACATCAGATAAAGAACGACACAGGGTTTGTTTTTATCACAAAGTGGTGTGAAGCCGTATATTGTTTTCTTCAGAAAATAGTCACAAAATAAGAAATAAGATAAACAATATATTTAATAATAAAACCGACGGTGTCACAGAGATTACTTACTGGACGAATTATTGCGGCGGGTATTCGACGCTAGGCATTTATTGGACTTTACACCACGACGATAACGCGTGTTTGTAACGGTCCGGTTTACAGTGGAGTGGTGGCTGAGAAGGAGCTGACACGACCGCGGGGTGTCAAATGTGTGACAATGCCGTGGCCGTGTCAGAATGTTATTCAAAAGTTCCGCTAAACCATCATCTCCATCAGGACCACTAAATTTAACTGTAGCACTTGATTTATTTCTTTTCTTACCCGCTTCATACAAATTTCTTTTTCGCATTATTGTGTTATTAATTATTCTTTTAAGGTTCTTCGACTAACGTTTCTCAAATTTACCTTACAGTAACTATATATATATTTTGTAAATTATTACTAGATTAATTTAGACTTATAGAGCTATAAGTTAAAACTCGCAATATGGTATCATTTACATTTAAATCCGAGGTACTGTTTATTTCTCTGAAAGATATTATCTATACGAAAGTATAGAGAAGTAGACTCAATAAATTATTTTGATGCTTACATTTTCTTCTGTTTCATATCTATCATTTTTTGAGATATCTTTTTTTTATAACTTTTTAAAATGCGTGTTTTTGTTTTTTACGGAGACATAATGACAAAAAAAGTACTATGCAAATCGGAATTATTTAAAAAAAAAACAATAGTCTGTAAAACTAGTCCAAAATGCATACAGCAAAAAACCGTTTACAGCAGGTTATAAAAAGTTGCTAAATACTAGTGATGTAAAAGTATTAATTGGTGCCTATTTCTTGCATAAAAAATATTGATGATTTTATCAGTTTTATTAGTTCAGGAAATGCAAATATAAGGAAATACGGGGCCTGTAATGTTTTGGTATAGTCTAAATAGCCAAATATCTTTCAAATAATTTTTATTTTAACTATCTTAAAATAATCTTAGTTTTCTTCTTTAGCAAAATAATGTATTTCATATATGTATGGTGTCCCGCCGTGTTTACTAATTTGAATATTAGTTAATAATGTCAAATTAGTAAATTACGGTGAGGCACTCTACACATATATTATGTACACTATACATTATTATTACTTTTATATCAATTACTGATTTGACAAGATATGCTTTAATTACATATCTTCCTGAACAGAAATCAATAAGAGACTTGTGTTGTGCGGGCCCAC